CAAAAAGTATTTTTTTTTCCCACTTATAAGAGCCATCAGCCTTGATCATGAAATTAGCTCTTGGATGAAGGAAGGCTATAGATCTACATTAGGGATCTTAGAGATCAAGGCCGGAGATGTGGCCGCCCTTCCTTATTAGAGATCAAGGGTGGAAATTGTGGATTTCCCTCAATCAGTCTGTGGTTTTTATGATTTGTTAGTAAATATTTTTCATCACATAGCCCTTTTTATTAGCTTTCCAATGAGCTAAGGCTTGCTCAATTTGGAGTTGAACCAAAGTTTTGGTGAATGTTTTAGTGCAAAGGGGGCAGTTGCCTTGGCAGTTTCAATAACCCAATTCTGAAAAGGCAATTTTCAGTGCCACTTAATGGAATCATTTTGAAATTTTGAAAATACAAGTATCTTCAAGCTAAGATTCTATTGGCATAGATTTAATTGAATTTGAAGCAATTATGATTTTTTAACAAATCTTTGAGTGACGGAGGTCGGCTGAAGCGGCAGCCCAATGACCCAACTTTGAAGAAGCATTGCTCAAAGCTTAGGTACTAGATTGCCACGGAAATTGTGGAGCAGAAGTACTTGAAGTTAAATTTCCAATACAACAAAAATCACTAGATGTAGAGCTAATTTGGATTTTGGGCAAATTTTGGAGTAAAAAAGAGGTGCTTCCTTCAATCCTTGGGCATTATCAAGGTACTTCTTTGGTACCTCTCTTTATTTTATTTTTTTTATTTTTTTTATTTTATTTTTTTTATTTTTTTATTTTTTTACAGTAACTTGTAAATTCTACATTTTAATTTTGACTTTAATTTTTAACTTTTAATCTTCTCTCTTTTACTTTTATTTTTTTATTTTTTAACTTTTACTTTTTACTTTTTTAACTTTAACTTTAATTTTACTTTTAAAACTTTACTTTTAACTTTTAATTTTTAATCCAATCTTTAAAAAATTTATAATTTCTATGAATTAAAGATAATAACTTAATTAATTATTTTTACCATCAGTTATTTAAGTGAATTAATAACTATATTAATTATTTTTACCATCAGTTATTTTTAAAAATAATAAAATAATAAAATACTAATACGTAATAAAAACGACCTAATAAAAATAAAATAAAAAATTAAACCAAATTATCTAATTAGAAGTAGAAGAAAGAATTATTTTGCATAAAGTTAAGTAGTGAATTATCATTATGAATGTGAGTAATTTTAGAAGATTTGATTAATAACTTGGTGTTTTAAGAAGAACAAGTAATAAGGGGATTAGAATTTAAATAATAACTTTATTTTAAATTTACATAGTTAATTTACTTATTGTGAGTTAGAATAAACTTCCAATTAGTGGAGGTTTATATTAGCTCACAGATGTATCTTAAGAAGTAATTTGAATTATGTGATATTTACAATTTTCTATCTTTGCATATAATCTTCCATCTCTAAGTTTTTGCAACACACAACAAACATAAAGTTCATGCACTTTTATGTTTTTAGATTAGATTAAAATTTTATCTAGATACAAAATAAGAAAATTATCAAAAACTCTCAATTTTTATTTATTTATTAGATGTTAAAAAGTAACTAGTAGATTTATTAATTCAAAAGGCATGATATTTTATTCAAAATATCTATATTTAGTTTAAAATATAGTCTTATATTTATTTCTATCTTTGATATATATTAGATTATATTTTCTTTATAAATCTATATTTTTTTAGATCTTAGCTTAATTTAATTGCTTAATAAATATTAAAAAAAATAGATTTAAAGCTATGTCATTTCATTCAAGTATAACATTTATGATATATTTTATTTTATTTAAGTTTATTTGGACTTAAAATAGTTCATACTAATAATAAAATATCAAATTAGAGAAAAATAATCTATGATTTTAAAATCAAATAAAAATTTCTACAAAAAAGAATAGTCCAATTTTTTTAAATAAAAAATAAATCTTAGAAAAAACATCATTACAATGATGGATATTCTATAAATTTTAAAATATAAAAATATTTCTTAAAAAATGAGGTAATTTACTTAATTGTTAAATAAAAAAAATTAAACAAGTTAGCAATCTTATTAAATTATCAAAGATATGAATTTATAAATAGAATTTATTTTTTTATATTATTTAATTATTAAATATATATATATAATTAGAAAAAAAAACTAGAGTTTCTATTGTCAATTTTTAAAAGACCATAAAGCCTTTAAATAAAAATTAAATATTAAAAAAAATATTGTAGAAGCTTACTCTTGCCTTATTCTTGCCTTATTCTTTTCAATAAGATATTAAATACCAAAAAGATATTGTAGAAACTCCTTAGAAATTTTAAGGATTATGGTCCAAGCATGAAGTTGTTACTTGATTCTAATATGGCTTCTTAAAAGTAAGAAACTTAAAAAATGAGTTTTAGTAGGCATGTGACATATCTATTGAAGCTTAAATATTAAATTAAAGTCCAAAAACTTCTTTAAAGCTTTTAAAAAATATATTATTTACTTAAAATATTTCTATCTAATTTTATTTTTATCTATTTATCTAAATAATATAGATTAAATTTACTATTAATAAGAAGTTTATGACTAATTTTACTTTCTATGTTCTTTTATAAAATTTTCTTCTAAAATATTTAGAATCCAAATTAATGTTTTGGTTGTTCAGATCTCTATGTTTTCACAACATATCATGTATTGACATTATTTGCTTTTAAAACAAAAATATAGTTTGCCAATATTTTTCTATTTATAAAATGTACCTTTTACAATCTGAGCTAGTTGGTGTATTCATTATTGAACATGTTCACGGAAGAGTTTTTTCTCCACAAAACACGCTATTATCAGAAGACTAGTCAAATAATGCATTTCAACCACAACAACTACATTGATATCTGCTGCAACCCCTACAGGGATAGTTAGAATCAAGGATGTTGTATAACTACGTGCAAATCCTTCAAAAAGGTTTTCACTCGGAGTCACGTTGATGGTGGGTGTGAGTGAGGCCGTCCCCATTGCTGAAGCGCGTGGAAAACTTCTGCGATGTCATGCTGCAATGAACCGTACAAGTTCTTTGCTTTAAACTACATAGAATCCTCTCCAAAAAGCACACGCCCTGGCACGATCTGCTTACATCTTCATAACAATATCAACTTCCTCTAACGCCAGAACTTAAGTCCAAACTCTCTCGACTGGCAAGTCCCGTTAAGTTTGATTATTGCTTTCTATTCTTCTCATTTCAACAGTCGACGCTCTCAGTTTTCACTGCCAGTCTCGGCTGTGGCCGCGCTAGATTGTGAGAATTCGGCATTACTCATCACGTCGTGAATTGCTGAGCCGGCACTCTCACTCTGTACTGACAACTAGCATCGTGCTCAAAGCCAAGTAGGGAGCCTTCATCACATATGTTAACTTTCAGTACCTCTTAGGTCCCACATCTATAATTGAATAATTTTTAGTTCTACCGACAGAGTATAACAAACGACAACTATTTATTCTTCCTCATGGGTCGATTAATTTGTACTGTGATATGTCAATTTAGAACTAAGAAGAATCAACTGACAAAATCCTTGTGTGCATGAGTTGATCGGAGTCAATCAGCAATGGGAGTGAAGGAGAGGGTTCATGAAATTCTGTTGGGCTCTGATGAGTTTGTTGTGCATGTTGGCCAATTAACACTGTTTAGGTTATTTCAGTTCAGTTAGCAACCGATTAATCTCTGACAAGGTTATCATATTCTACGAGCCTTCTACTCTTCGCTTGTGGTTCTCATGATACGACTGTGGTCATTCACCATGTCTTGAATAAAATATCGTCCATTAGAAGTCTTTAGTGCGGGTGGTTCCGAGCCGCTGGGACCATATGACCAGCAGCCCTGGCTGCGAATATCTTGTTAGATGACTCACTCTGTTTTTCAAAGACATAGCCATCAACTTAGACAGATCCAACCATGCTAAGAGAACCACCTCAGCTCTACAAATCAGAATCTACAGTGGTACCTTTCCGCAGTACTTGAAAATTTTAACTGACAAGATGTGGCTACTGGTTGATCCAACATGTGCAAAACAGTCTTACCATATTCTGTTGAGAATTGTTGGGGGTGGTTCCACCCAATAACAAAATTCCAATGACGCGCACAGAAACACTCATGAAAGCCCCACATAAACGTCACATGATATCAAAATACTTTACGTCGAACGTTAGCACTACACAAGATTCCAGTAAAAATTCAACCCTAAACGCCACCTACACGAAAACACGCAAACACACGAAGAGCTTGCTAAACGTGTAGAAATAAAGGTTCAGATCTAGCATCCGCGAGGAAGAAGGTGGTGGACACAGGATTGACGGTACGACGTGTGAAAGAATAGGGCTCATGATGATCTGGCCACAATTTTAGAAAACTTTTACACGAGAGTACGAAGCGTTGAACGAAAAGACACACAAAAGCCCCTGGGTTGTTCAACGGAATCTTTCTTGACGATCGAGTCTGGGACATAAGTATAATTGGTCGATTGGGGATAGTGATCCAAAGATTTAAACAAGACAGTGGTGGTTTGCTCCTGCTGATGATATTATTAGCATTCATTCTGCAAGGGATCTTGGAGGTCACCACGGTTAGACCACCCGAGGCGGTTTGGAACCTCCTGAGTTTAGATCTCACAAGATGTCCCTGTCTATTCCATGTAACTTTGTAATTTATCACCAGTCGGTTTCTCTGAGCACTTTCAATTACTGAGTTTCTCAACTGAAGTCACTCCCATGCAATCTATGATATGAAGGACTAATGCGACAGATGCGTGAATTGCAACTCGATTCGGAAGGCATGGAAGCATGTGCAAGTCCGCTGAACATCCAACCTTCCAATATTCAGAATATAAATAATCTGCAGTTGACTGAGGGAAAGAAGTCTCCATCAAAAAAGGTGCCACCTCGACACCGACTTAATCGACGCAGATGCAAGTTGCATGTTTCTCAACCATGTGTGTTATAAGTATCCGCTAGTTGGCCACGTTGTAGTAACTCAGATCATTCTATTGCAGCATTAATCCACCTGAGCATAACTGTTTCATTGAGCTTCACAACGAGCTCTACTCTTTGTCATTATGGCGTTCACAGAGACATCTTCTCCATCTCTGGTGCTGACTTCGACCGAAGTTGCACCAGCGCACCAAGCCGGCAGCTCTGTTGACACTTCACTCGCACACGTCGACGAGACCACCATCAGCCCAGAAAAGACTTTTTCTCACACTGAGGTGTTGAGGGGTAACGCCGATGATGTGTGGGAGGCTTGCAAGCACGGCGTGGCGTTTCTTCCGGACTTGGCCGCAGAATATTTCACCAAAGCTGAGTACGAAAGGGGCTGGGGGGAGCCAGGCAGCATCAGCGTTTTCCACTTTGCATCCGGTAATCTTCAAGTCAAACTGTCATTTGATCGATCGGTACATGCAGGGATTTATGTCTGAACTTTAGTTGGTCATTTGCAGCGCTTCCGGGAGCCAGAAAGGTGAAGCAACATGTCGACGTAGTCGACGATAATTCCAGAACCTTGGCATACACAGTCATCGAGGGGGACATCTCCAGCTATAGCTCTTTCAAGGTAGAGCTCAAGTTCATTCCTGCAGGAGAAAGCGAAACGGAGGCAATCTGGACGGTGAAGTATGTGCCTGTTGGTGAAGCAGGCCCCCCCGAGAGCATACGGGACATCGTCGCCATTACTCTGAAGGCGTTCGAGAAAGCTGTCACAGAGAAGCGAATAGTGCGACACACGAGAACACTGGAAGCACCTGCAGACACAATCTGGAACATCTTGATGCATGAGGATGTTATCCTGCCGAAGGTTATTCCCCATATCATTGAATCCTACGAGTTTCTGGAGGGCAACGGGGAGGCTGGCAGCATTCGCCTACTCAAACTGGGCCACGGTATGAATCCAAGATTATTAGATGCTGCAAGCCTGCAATCGAAAGCAATATGAACATCCTCCTTGATGTCAATCGTTGATCTTGTTTCCTGAATCAATGACCACTATTTGTGTGAAAGTCTTTCAATTTATTGGTAATTTGTGAGATTTGGTTGTTTTATTTCAGCGATTCCGAATGGCAAGAACGTAGTTGAGCACATTGATGTGAACGATGCTGCGACGAAACGATGGGGCTACACTGTGCTCCAGGGCGACCCTAAATACAAATATCTGTCGGCGGTGATGCAATTCCTTCCTGGCTCGGAGGAGGGCACCACTCTAGCTAAGTGGGTCGGTGCTTACGTTCCTCACAATCCCACAATAACTCCTCCGGATCTCGCCCTGCACGTCTGGAAAGTGTTCGAGGGCGTGGCGAAGGCGTCCCCTCAGGCTGTCTACTGAGGTCACCCTCTGATCGATCAGACTACTTTTACACTTTTACCTATTTTGTGATTGGCATTGTCACAAATCTATTGGGATTATATTAGAACAGCACACATCCCAGCAGAGTGAAAATGATGAGTTCTAGTAGTAAATTAACCCTTCTGTCAATGCCACAGAAACTAGAACATGAGATTCCCCTATACCAATAATTGGCCACAGTATAGCTGGATACAGGCTGCCTCGACGATGGTATATATGTCCGATGTATTCTGTAAAAAATTTGTAAAATCTCTTCAAGAATTATTTCAATGCAAAGCGATTTGCGCAAGATTGTAGATGTGCACATGAGTGTTCTTCGTTCAGAATTGTGATGGATACAATTCACCGAGCTGCTTTCAGAGCAACGGATGGTTTCTTTTTTCTGAGAAAAACCACAAGATTACATGCTACCGACACTGACTGCCTAACTTCGACACTAAACTAATCACAAACAGCTTCTTATAGGAGTACGTGAGTTCAGTGGCGGTTAGATGAACTGTCAATCGACAAAAGCTTGAGGATGGAGCCGCACCGAATAATTCCATTCTACTCATGCATGGAATAGGTTCATCTGAAATTGTGATGGAACATTTTTTTGGCTTGGATATCTTTCTGGGAATCATCAAGTTTTGGTATCCAAAACATGAGAGGAGTCATAGTAGAAGGATGCAATGGAGAAAATTTCATAGAGATTTGGGAAGTCAATACAAGAGAGCCAACACACAAATTATTAATGAATGTAACTTGCTAGTTAGAAAGGAGACAGATGGTACATAATTTGAGAGAACATTCAATGAGAATATGAAGAGTGAACCCAAAAGTCATCGGATCTATTTAAAGTTTACCCTCTTTAATTTATTGTGGCTAAAAGAAAGGGTAATGAAAAAAAAATTGTGATGCAATAGAAGGAAGTCACTATTTTAAAGGAATCAACCCAAGGCATCAAAAATTCTTAAATTCACTACTAAATTGTGGATTCACATAATTTAAAAAAATAAAAGTAAAAAATCTTCATACAATTTTCCTATTTAAACATCTGCAATTGATTACACTTTCATAAAGATTGCTCAATTCTAATTTTAATAGTGATATGTCTTGTGGTCAAATTGCTATTGTTTGTAAATGTCTAAGTTGTGTATTAGAAAACATGAGTTCTAAAATGATGGATAGAAAAAGATAAGATAAATAATAAACTAGTGGGTTTATAAAAAGAAATTACATATTGTATATTAAAAAGATAGTAAGTCTTAGAGTTTTATTTAAGTCTTGAAAAACTAGGAATATAATTAAAATCTAAACTCAATTCATAACCAAGTTTGTGAATTGATTTTTTACATAAGAAATTATTAGAATTTTTTTAAAAAATAGAAATATAAAATACTAAGTATATTCTAAATCAAATATTATTTTTAATAAAACATAATTTTTATCCATCTTTTAAAATTATAAATTAAAAAATCAAATTTAAAGCATTATTTAAAAAAAAAGATATTATAATTTTTTATTGAAGTTGCCAAGATTTATAATAAAGTAAAACTTAAATTATTACAATAAAAATAAGATGTTAGTTATTTAAAGTTTTTTAGACTACTTGCAAAATCTAACAAAAATTACTTTAGAACTCATACATATTAATACCAAATTTTGTGATTAATAGATTTTATATGACTCTAATTATTTAAATTTTATTTATTTTGAATATTTCATAAAAAAATTTAATATAAGCCAAATTAATTGATTCTAATAGTAGATTTTGCACGTATTTAAATTTATATAAAAAAAATTACTTTATAATATAATTACATTAAATTTTTTTTTTCATTACTTTTATTAAAATAATGATTCTACATGTAAATAAATTTTAATTTTTTATATTTTAAATCTATAATCACTTTTAATATTTTAAAATGGAATTCTAATTACATCTTTTAAATTTCTAAAATGACATATAAAATGTCTAAATTTATTTGTATAATGTTTTGAATTGTATTTTTATAAAATTCTTTGAAATCTACCACAATATTATTTTAGAGCATAAAATATTGTTCTTTTAGCCAAGTCTCAATAATAAACTACAAAATCATTGTAAATGGACCTCACTTAAATCAAAAATATTGTACTACAATACACATAATCTAAATTAAATATTTTTTTAAAATTTTACTACATTTAAAATCTATGTTTAATAAAAAATAATATTAGATTTAAATTTTAGATTTATATTATTCTATATTGGATATCAACAAATTCTTTACGATTCTTTGGTACTATTACAATTATATCAAGAATCTCAATTTTTTACAAGATTCGACTATATCTTAAAGAATCATAGAAAACAATCTTTTTATGAAAGTATCTAAATATCTTTGTAATATATATATATATATATATATATATATTTATATTTATATTTATTATTTCATGACCTTAAAACGTTTTTAAAAATAATTTATAAATCTATAAAAAAAATGATTTTTAATAAAAGACTATTTATTAATTTCTTATGTATTTATTAGATTTTAAAAATATTTTTGGGTTATTTTTTCTTTAATATTAATTTAAATTTAGTATATATATGTATATATATATATATATATATATACATAATCTTTATTCTTTAATATGTTAGATTTTAATTAGGATTCTTTTTGTATTGTGCTATGTATTGTATTTTAATGTGCATATTTTTTATTATTTTGAAGAAATTCTATTAAAATATATGAAAAAAGTAATTATATGATAACTCTAGCCATTTATATTATAAAGTATTACATATTTTTTTTTATTTCTTGAAATAATTATAATATTTTGGTATTTTATAAAAAAGTTTTTTAATAAATAAATAAAATATCAGAAAAATATTTTTTTAGTTATATTATTTAAATAATAATTTGATATAATTTTAAAAAATAAATAAGATGTAAATTTAATATTTTTTAAATAATATTTATAATTTATTGAAAAAAATAATAATAATTAAATAATAAGATATAGTTAGCTTGAGTTTTTAAAAATAATTTATAAGATTTAAAATTTAGTTTTTTATTATTTGAATACATAGCTAGATCTTAATACCTAAACAATATAAATAATATAATTTTTTATGAAAAATAAGAGTTATTTTTAAGATGATGTTTGAATTTGAAGTTGTTATTATGAATAAATATTTCAAATTGAGAAATTTATTTGTTATCTTTAGCAATTTTTTTAATCACTTTGAAGATACAATTATTTTATAATTTAGTTTAAATTGATATTTATTTTCTCTCTATTTAAATTATAAAATTTATTTGATTTTTTATTCTTAAATTTAAATTCTTAAAATGATAAATTTTAAATAAACTAGATTGTGTTTTTTGGAAATATTTAATAAATCTAGAGGTTTTTAAAAGTATGTTTTTTCTAAAAATACATTTACTTTTTTAAAAGATACATAAAAATAGATATAAATGAGCATGTTTCATGAATTGATAAAAAACAAAAAAAATTTAAAAAATATGAGTTAAAAAAGGACACTGTTAGTTCTTAAAATAGATAAAATTTAATATTATCCTTAATTAAGTAATTTCATGTATATATATATATATATATATATATATATATATATATATTTTAGATAATTCTTTTACAATTAGAATATTTATTGTACAGTAAATTTTACTACAAATAGTTTGTAAAATATTAATTATCCATAATGTTTTTAGAATTTAAAATTAATATAATCAAATATTTTAATAGTATAATTATTTTTAGATTTTATATTATATAATTATATTTTTTAATAAAATAGATAAAATTTAAGAATTTTTCGTTTATTAATAATTAATATGAGTAAATTTTATTTATATCTTGTTATTCTAATATTAAAGATAAGTACAAGATTATAAAATAAAAAATTATCACTATAGAAAATTGAAAAAATTAAATTATATTTTAAAAAATTAGATTATATCAAATAATAATTATATTTATTTTTTTTACTAAAATTAAGGTAATTTTATAATAATACTAGAACTAATCTTGTTAATATAATTAACTATTAAAGCCTTGTTAACCAACTACAATATTATACAAAACTTTATACAAATAATAATTTTTTGATATCAATGTCTAGTTGTTAAATCCAAATATCTTAATTCTCAAATTCAAACACTGTACTTGTCGAGCTTGACTATCCCTTCATATATAAGATAGTCAAAGATGTGGGGTTGCCTAATTTATTTGCCAATGATATCAAGCTTGAGCACCATCCAAGGTAGTAAAAGTTATTAGGTAAAAGAATAGAAGAGTGATAAAAAATAAAAATAAAAAATAAAAATAAAAAAACCAAAAGAAATATGATTATTAAAGAATTTACAATTGATAAGATAGGTAGCTCTTGATTACTAACATAGTAAAGTAAAAAGAATCAAATATAAACAAAAAATCTATTCAAATATTTTATTAATAAAATCTATCTATTTCTACATATATTATGTACTTATAAATAAAGAGTGTTAAAAGTGAGGTATGTCTTACTTTATACTTCTTATATACATTTTTATATACAATAAATGATTTATTTGTATTTGATATTCTTGTTAATATTTTTCTTGCTAAATATATTATAAATTTTTTTACTTTTGTTTTATGCTTCTTCCAATTTTATGTTTAAAATTGCATTTTAAGGCATAAATTTATCATGTATATTGCATTTATAAATATTTCTCCTTAAAATTCTAAATTTAAATAATTTAAGATATTTTTATTCTTTGCTATTTCTACACTAATAAAATTTTGTAATTTTTATAATTTTTTTTTGAAAGTCTTTAGGTATAATTTTTGTTTTATAATAATTTACTTCTTTAAAAAAATCTCTAAATTATTCAAATTATATTTCTTGCCATTATTTTTAAAATATTTTATTTTATATATTTTTTATTTTTTATTTTTTTATTACTTGTCAACTAATATCTTAAATTTATTAAACTTATTAAAATATTTATTCTTCATTTTTTTAAGATAGATTTATTTTTTTCTTCAATAACTATTAATAAAGATAACAAAGTATTTTGCTTCTTCCATGGTCATTCTTTTTGTAGCATTTTTAGCTTTAGAATATTTTTATATTATATTATTACAAATATAGAAAATTTATAGTTATTTGAAAACAATTGTATAAAGTGGTAATAGTGAACATTTTAATATACAATCGTTTTATTGCACCTTTGACAAAACTAATTTGTAGTATATTTTTCAACTAGAAATCAGCCAATATCTAGCCTTATCAAAATATTTCGAGGGATTGTTTTTGAGG